AATGAAGTCGTTGATCATTCTGGAGGTTCTGCCTTTAATGCACCAGAAACGTTTGCCTGATGGCAGCAGTTGAAACAGTTTCTGGAGAGGGTGTGAGGAGTCCCTGACAATGTTCAGTGCCTTGCTCCTGCAGCGGCTCTGGAAAAGTTCTTGGACAGAGGTGAGGGAAACGCCTATGACCCTCTCAGCTCTTCTAACTATCCTCTGCAGGGCTTTTCTGTCTGACTTACTGCAGCTGGAGTACCATGTTGAGATGCAGTATGTCAGAACGCTGTCCACCACACCTCTGTAAAAAGTCCTGAGGATGCTGGCAGGGAGAGAGGCTTGTTTCAGCTTCCTCAGGAAATGTAGTCTCTGCTGGGATCATCTGATGATCGCTGCAGTGTTCTTATTCCAGCTCAGGTCCTGCGAGAGCTGCAATCTGAGGACCTTGATGTTCTTCACTCTCTCCACTGTGCATCCGCTAATGCTTAGTGGAGCATGCTCAGGGCGTGACCTTCACAAGTCAATGATCATCTCCTTCATTTTGTCCACGTTGAGCAGCAGGTTGTTCTTACTGCACCAGCCCTCTAGGTGTTTCTCTGTACATTGATTCTTTGTTCCCGCGAATAAGTCCCACTACTGTGGTATCATCAGCAAACTTGATGATCTGGATCCCCTCATGTGTGGCTGCACAGTTGTGTGTTAGCAGTGTAAACAGCAGTGGACTGAGTACACAGCCTTGAGGAGATCCAGTGCTCAGCGTGTTGGAGTTGGGGATGTTCTTTCCAACTCGGACACGTCTTTCGGGTCTTTCGGTCAGAAAGTCCAGGATCCAGAGACATGTGGTGGTATCCATGCAGAGTAGGAGGAGTTTCTCTATTAGTCTCTGGGGGATAATAGTATTAAACGCTGAGCTGAAATCAATGTACAGGATTCTAGCGTCGGTGTCTTTATTTTCCAGGTGGGTGATGGCTGAGTGCAAAGTGGTGGATATTGCATCCTCTGTGGAGCAGTTGGGACGGTTAGCGAACTGAAGGGGGTCAAGCGATGCAGGAAGGCTGGCTGTGATGTGTGGTTTGACGAGCCGTTCAAAACGCTTCATCACACTCAGTGTCAGTGTGATGGGGCAACAGTCATTCAGACAGGCTACAACTGATTTCGTTGCCACTGGAACTATGGAGGATGTTTTGAAGCATCTGGGGACAATGGCCTGACTGAGGGAGATGTTGAAAATGTCAGTCAGCACATCTGCCGGTTTGTCAGCGCAGACTCTGAGCACATGTCCCAGGATGTTGTCTGGTCCTGTTGCTTTTCGTGGGTTGACCCTCGCTAGGGTCCTCCGTGTGCCTGCTGCGCTGATGGTGAAAGCTGGCCTGACAGTTGAAGAAGGACCAGCCCTTTCTCTCATTGTCGGGTTCGATGCTTCAAAGCGTGTAAAGAAGTTGTTAAGCCTGTCTGAATGAGACACGTCATCATTATTAAAGTTAATCAACTTGGCACTGAGTGTACTGAACTTCACATGACAATTCGAGCAAGTAAAGTATTTAAGTTAAATACAACTCAATTTTCTCTTCTTTTTTTAATAAATTTACCTCATTCAGGTGTACAGTGCGAATGTATGTATGCTTCCCTTGAACTGCAATACCTCTGGAGTTTTGTACTTTTACTTGACTAAGATCTTTATAATTTGGCACACTTTCCCAACTTCCAGTAATCCCACTCACATCTCTTTGGCAAGTTTCCATTACTGCATATGAAGAAAGTGCAAATTAGACTCTGAAAAGATTAAAACAGCTGGTTTAGTTTAGTGTGTTAACATATGAAGCATTTGGTAATTAGCAGTAAACACAATGAACAGCTGAAGACTGGTAATATAAAAATTAAAATGTAGATCTGTTGGTGGCTTTAGATGGAAGCAAAAGTTTTTGGCAAATTAAAACCATTCACAGACATTCAGACCAACTGACCAGCACTGTCATCCCACATGTAATAAACCAGCTACTGTGTAACACGGTTGTTTCCCCCATACAGTCAGGTGGCTTTAATAACGGCAACCCGGCATGCTGTGAGATATGAATGTCCATTCAAAATTTGGTGATGGCCTTTGACGATAAAAGATAGCTGGGAACGGAAACGTCACCCAGTTAACCTGCTCTATGTGACAAAACAGATAAGACGAACAGGAAATGGCTTTTCATCCGCCTGCCATGCTATCTCAATTACGATTTGATTTCATGTACATGTAGAAAATCACCTGCGTGCGTGTAGATGCTTTGGTGTTATGTAATTTTTATTATTATTATTTTTTTAAGAAATCAATTCTCAGGGCTTAAGATCAAGCAGAGAGCTAAAAATGAGTAGCATTGCCTGGGAAAGAGCTGAAAGTGGCCGGGGAGAAACAGGAGCAGAGGCATGCCAGACATGTCAAAATAATAGGTTATTATTTGCACTCAGACTCTGCTTGGCTCTCCGTTTTTAGTGTCTGTCCCATTCTATATTTGTTGTTTGGGAAAGGTGCCCTGTAACTAAGGATGAGATGCACTGTGTGAGACTTTGCTGAATGTCAGAGCTGGACTGGGGGAAGAAGCAACACCTTAAAAATGGCTGCTGCCTCCAGTCATGACAGAAATGGCAAAGATGGTGCCAAGATGACCTGGCATCAAAGGAATGGATCTTCATCTCTGTGCTCCGGGAGTGTGAAGATGTTACATGGGGCTTGAGGGCCTTTGTTGCTTATGAACAATGTCTAATTATAATAACAAAGTGTTCAAAGCAGCAAACTGTAAAGAACATTCTTGTCTTGCTTTGTGGGTGCTAAAGGACATGAAAACATCATGTTCATCCCAAGCAAGGGAACAAGACTACAGTGCTCCTTTACTTAGAAGCATCATCACAGAATTACAGATATGAGGAGTATTATACCAGTGCTTATGGATAAGCGCAATAGCAATTTTTGATTTTAATAACACATCTGATTATGTTGAGGTCACTGTAAAACACAACAGAACATCAAGCTTTAAATCCCTAAAGGGATATTGGAGGAATATACATTTTTTTCATCAGAGATGTTCAAGAACATATAGGGAGGATGTATTGGAAAAGAAAGCAATCATATGAAAGCATTGCAGGTCAAATCTGAAAATGTCAGGGTTCAATCAGTGAGGAAATCTGTGGGCTTGATATAGAGCTTTGCCAACAATCAGAGAAAGCCCTGAACTCTGGCCCAGTAATCCACCAAACAAACTACAAACACTAACCTTTAGTGATTCTCGCAGTCAAGGACATCATGCATCATTTTTTCCCCCCTGATACTGGGGGAATCTCTCTAATAAGTCTAAGTCTTTGATGGAAGGAGTTGTCTTTGATTTCCCAGAGGAGGCAGACAGCAAAAGACCTGGGTGTTTTGACAGGTCTGGTAGAAGTCAAGTGGTGGGTGACTGTGGTACAAACTTTACAGAGAAGCTGAAGAGCAGCTGTAGACAGAAGCTACAGTTGTGTGATTAGACCATCATTCTCTCAGTCCTAATTATGTAGAGCTGGAACAGAAGCAAGAGGCTGAGAAGGCCCTGCGTCATTAGCTTTCATCAACCCTGGGTACCCCGAAACAAAAACAGTGCACGCACACACGCACACACGCACACACACACACACACACACACACACACACACACACACCTGCGCACACATACACACACACACACATACACACACACACACAGAGGCTGCCTGACAGTGAGTCAATACCTGACATTCATCATTTCAGTCCAGCCAGGCTTTTTAATTAGTGCAATGAATTCCCTACATGGCTCCAGTCACCTGCTATCTGAACAGGGTTTACTTTTGAGGTTTTGCTTTGTCTAGACACTGTTTAATGAATAAATGGTCAGGGTAAACTGGCTTTATTCTTTCTTTGGTGAATATTAATGTAAAGGAGGAATGTACAACTTCAGAATTCTAGATGAGAACCAGAAAAATGTCTTGTTGAGTTGTTTTCTGCTGTCGAGTATCTGATTTTGAATCTTGTCCTAAAACAATTAGGCTTTATTGTGTGATGTGTCTCTGGTGTCTGAAATGTGCAAGATGATTACACACATGGAGCACAGCCAAACTGCAGGCCCGGTTCACAACAAGTGTTGTGTGGTATAGTGTATGTGAATGTTGCCGGATATCATCAGTATGGATGTCACAGGCCCCGAATGACGCAAACCAGCACTCTCTTGCACATGTATGATTGCGTAAAAGGCCAATTTGCATAAATTAGCTGTTGTGGAAGCAGCTGTCCTGCACCCCATCGGTACCATATTATACATGATACGGCCTTGATTGGCTGTTCTAAGAGAAACGAGGGGACAGCAATCACAGGCCCACTTACTGATCGTCCTCATGTATTTGGTTATATGAAGATGCTGTCCAACTTTTCCATATGTCTACTCATTGACCTTCAGTTTGTGTCGAGATCATTTTTCATTTGAAAGTGAGAGATATTTAAATAAAGCCTAATTAAATTGTGATCATGGCTCTGTTTAATGTTTATCCTTCTGCCTTTGCTGGTGTGTGCATGACATTGTTATGTGGAACACAGGATAGGCTTGTGGGATACAGCGACCCCTGGAGGCCAGTAGTTGTCCTGCTACAAGAAGAAAGACATGTTACAGGTCTGCAGGTACACATACAGTATTCTCTGGGATAACAACAATAACAACAACAACAACAACAATATTATTATTGTCATCCGTGTTTTTGTTAATGCTATTGTTATTATTATTTATGTATAATTCATGTATTTGTATTCATTCAATTTTAAAATTAAAATGTATTAACTTATGTATTTAAAGAAACAAAAAAAATATAAATATTAGCAAGAAAAACACTGACACACATACAGGAGAGTACACAGTGCAGACTGAGCTATGCGCGTTCAGTTGTAGTTCAACGCGAATCATAAAATTTGTCCCTCGTCCGTTTCCGTACCTCGTCGAGGAAATCCGGAAGTTGCTACAACAAATTCATTCATTCTGTACAGTCTCTGCATGTAATATTAATGCCATAAGAGTTGGGGATTACTTCATTTCAAAATGCGTAGAAGACCCGAAGCCCAGTCATCAAGCAATGAGCCTGCCAATGCTAATAAAAAGGTATTTCAGCGTTAGCGGTGGGAAGCTGCTGGTAGCATCATGTCACAGTTTGTGTTTGCTAACATTAGCTGACTAACTCTAAAAGCTACGTGTTAATTTGTCTTCGTCCTGGCCGACAGTTGATGTCAAAGTATGTGTACTACTGACGTTTAATTGCTGTTACTCTGGTATTTACACTATTAAAGATAAGTGGACCATGAAAGAGTATCTGTCAGCTTTCCTAAACTGAGTCCAGAAAGTAGAGAAGCCCAATCATCTTGAAAAGCAGAAATATTAATTGCTTTTTACATATTTACTGCTTACTTACTCCTATCCTAATTCACAACATATAATTGTGGTAAATCATTAGCAAACGTTCAATTCGACATACAAAAAATGAAATAACATACCAGAATAGTTTGTCTGTTATCCAGGGCATTATAACATGTCTCACTGAAACGTGCTACGAAATCCTCCATTTACCTTTAAGGTTTTGTTAGAAATCAGGCATTATTGCATGATTATATTTCAGGGTAGGGACTTATTTTTATTGTTAAAACAACATTAGTCCAAAGTTTATAAAAATAGTTTCAATTCCAATGTTTAAATTCATGTGCTGAGGTCAGGTTAATGTGTGAGTTAACATTTTCTTCTTTACACAAACTAGAATCCGGATCAAAGACCACAAAGCCAAGCTGAAGGCAAAGGCAGAGTGTCTTACAGCTCTGTGCTCATCAACATTGGAAAGTGTTTGCTTTTAATCATCATCATCCCTCCGTTCCTCAACTATGCATCACTGCAGAGAGAAGGACAGATGCTCTTGCCCAAAGGTTCTTTTATTGAAGTCTAATAAAGTCATTGCCTCTATCACTTTCATTTTATAAACCAGCAAATAAGGTTTTCACATATTTATTCAATGGTTTATTTAAACTCTCTATGTGTCAGCAGCTTAATGATGTTCTAAAAAGCTGAATAAGATCTTTGTCTTTTTTCTTGCTACCTCTTATCTAGATGGCCAGATTGTTGATGTTGGTTTGGGTCAAAAGATGCACCTTTTGTGTAAAGGACGAGGAAGCCCCGTCGGTAAGAAACACGCTACTTTCTTTGGGACATTGTTCTGTGTCTGGCTTCTTTGTTTCTTTTGACTGAGCTCTGCCTAACCAAGCTGTGTTTTTGTAGTCATACTGGATGCACCGACTGGAATGTCCTCAGACATTTGGTTTCATGTCCAAGAGAGTGTTGCCACACTGACAAAGGTAGGAAATTTACTGAGTTATTGTACTTTCAATTTAATTATTAGGTTTGGAAATTCTACACAGAAATAGTGGTGATCTTTATTTATATGGAAAAGCAAGTAGACTCATCAAAACTGAAATAAATGTCTCAGATGAATCACATTTGTAAGACATGCTGAGGGGGAGTTAGCGCTGACACTGGCTTTGCCTCTGTCAAGTGAATCCGCTGTGGTGACCTTTCTCTGGAAGCGGCTACTACTAATGTGGCCATGTTGTTTGTTGTTAGGGTCATGTAGGGATAGTCCTTGCAGTAGCTCTGCCACATCCTCTCTGCTCAACAAGGACTCGGCACAGCAGAAAGTCGAGTCTGACAGCCTGCCCCATGTTGTTTGTCTGAAATGTGACCCAAATGAGGTCACAGGCTTGTTGGGGAAAGGCCTAGATACATCTGAACAACTAAATTGCATAAGCAGTGACAAACACGAATGTAGTGGCGTAAGCATACTGTTTACACCTCTATCTGTGTCTTTTCAGGGCTACTGAGCCGTCATGCATTTTTAAAGTGCTTATACAGGATGGGGGGTTTGTTCTGAAAGCATCTCATGTTTATGTAGAGCATGGGGGTACTTAGAAAAACATTTGAACATGTGCTGTCCCTGTTTGTCACACTGCTCAGGTTTGCACCTATGACAGAATGGGATTGGGATTCAGCAAGCGATTGATGCAGAATGAGACCACGGGAACAGAGAAAGTTTGGGGGATGTCAACGACCGGACGGTGAGGACACTACATTATAGCTGGCTGTTGTCTTTGGAGGTTATGACATAGTGTAGGAACACTTCCTTTAAGGATAGCACACCTAAAGGTAGCTGCTGTACACGAAGTCTGCATTGTAAAATAATATCAGTGTTTCAAATCAATACTTTTATTGCCATGATTTTGTATCTCAGTAAGAGGGTTGTTTTTCACTTGCAGGGCCATCTGTCTCATTTATTGCTTGTAGCTGAGTTTGTAAAATTTTATTTGTGAAAATTTAAAAGAAGATGTATCCCAAATGTACTGTTGTGTAGTGCATAATGCAGATAAATCTATGTTCTGGTTACTGCTGATTTTAAGAAGCTAGTAGGCTTATCTTCTGAGGATAGAGGACTGCATTAGGATTGGGATCCCACTGGACCCTTTTTGCGATGATTGGAGTGAGCAGTCAAAAAGTAAACTGCAGATCCCCGGATTTAGTGCTAACCCCAAGGATGGAGTCAACAAATAGATTTGAAAAGAAGATTAAAGTGGATTTTCACAATACAAAAAGCTAAACAAAACAAGTCAGGCATTTGGACGGATTTGTCAGTAGTTTTTTACAAAGATTGAAAGGAATTAGACTTTTTGAGTTGCAACAAGTGTTCCAAAGTATTGATAGCCTGTACCCCACAACACACAAAAAATCTATCACCCCTGGGCGATATACCTGCTCCTTTCTCCTACACACTTTAACATTGCACATCTGAAAATCACAGTTTCATGCCATTCCTCTTTGCAAAACTTCTCAAACTCTGTCAGGTTGCATGTGGACAGCCCTTTTAAAGTCCAGCCATAAATTCTCAATTGGACTGAGGTCTGGGGAAATGTGTATGTAAAAACATTCCTTCATTGCTTCACTATTGGTCAAAAAGTCCATAGGATACCTTAAATTGTTTAGTCAAAAAAAAAAAAGAAAAAAGAAAGAAATATGCCAAAATATATAAAATATAGAAATGAAACAAGGGAATGTTTGGATATTTTTGTATTTTTTCAATATAGATTAGCTAACCTATTATCAGTAGTATTTTTAAAAAAAACTTAATTCACTGAATGTTCTGTAAACTGTCCCTCAGTTCAGTTCAGTTTGATTTTATTTAAATTGCACCAATTCACAACATATGTCATCTCATGGCACTTGACACAGTAAGGTGAGGACATTAGGAATTTTAAACTGAGAACAGAGACCCCAACCATCCAATGTTTTCTTTGGATTCCATATGAGCAAGCAGTTGGAACCAAAAAAGCCGTGCAATTAGAAAGACTACAAGAAAGCTAAGAAAGCATCACCAATTTTGATATTACATGCACATTGTGTTTCACTGCCTACTTGTGGGCTCGGTACTTGAAGCATTTTTCAGTGTTAATAGTATGTAGCATTTGCATTATTTGCTTATTTCTGTAATGTGTTTCATTTGTTTTGTGTTTTTACATTGCAGAGCATTGAGTGCACCCATCACGTACAAGTCCTAAAACCTAACATGACTTATTTGTCAAACTGCTTAAGGTATAGAAAACTGTCCTCACATTAGAGTAACTGCAACTGAAGAAGGCTTAGCATTTTTACCCAATAACTAAAATGGAATTCATCAAAATTGTTGCTGATTAGTTTTCTGTTAAACCACATATTAAAATATATTGATTCGCTATCAGTTCCGTCTCTTCCCATTCAAGTTTTTAATACAGCTTTTGATCAACAAAACCACAATACACAACAAGGTAACATATAACTGGAAATTTGGTCACAAATAGTAGTTAATCCAAGTAAAATGAAGGAAACCAATCAAACAAGGGTAAAAGAGCCAAAGGTCAAATAAGCACCAAGGATATATTTAACACGATATATTGAATATTGAACAAATAAAAGATAACATTTTTTATAGCTTTTGTCTGTTAGAAATTGAGGCCAAACTTCTTCCTATTGTAATTATTGGTTTTCATCAATTTAAGATTAAAAACAGAAATGCCAAGCATCAGTTTTACCCACCAAGCAAAAACAGGCTTTGTCTGAGTTCCAGTGTAGAAGAATAATCCTTGAAGTGCCACTAAAGCCAACTCCTAAGCAAGTCCAATTTTTTGTTTGGCGCCAGGAGAGACCTGGCTCCTTTTTCTGGCAGTGCTTTATGCAACCACTCTCTAATACATTTAACTTTCTGTTTCCAAAGACGAGGAACAAAACCACAGTCCTACATTCAGCATCAGTTCTATCAGATTGTGTGTTGTTCAATGTGACAGTCACATAGGGTGAAGCAAAGCTTAAAACCTAGCCTGCTGCAGTATGGGACAATAACACACCTCAAACTTAGTTTTTTTTTTTTTTAGTAGCAGAGTGAGCACCCAGAGGGAATCAGGGTTTCCTTGATAAAGTGGCTGTTCAGAACTTTTCATTATTGCTCGAGCTGGACACCGATGTGAGGCCCTGCCTCACACACCCCAGGCTGGCCTTACCCTGCCTCACACTGCAGCCGGATTGGGCTGTAATCTTCCAGTCTCTGACATCGGAACGCATTTTTCGAGCTCTAAACGTGCCTAAGGGGCTGAGCAGGCATGATTCGCTGACGGCAGTCTAGTTTACCTTGGCATCTGGCCCAGAGAGCGGTTGGCCGCCTGTTTGAGATGCAAGCAATCAATTTCCCAGAATTCAATATCTGAAGGAGTTTGATGCTACCTAACCTTAACCCTGCGAGTCTTGTGAAATCTCTTCATTTCAGTGTGACACCTTAGGTTTGATTTATTAGCACAACAAACCCGGGACAGCAGATGGCTCTCAGAGAGGAGCTGCTGCACCTCATGTAAAGCTGATGCTCCCCCTGATGATATAAGTTTGCTGGTGATTGTTTTTCCTACGGTGTTTTGCAATGGAAAGGGGCCAGCAATCCCCTCCTTTATGCTGCCATTTGGGTTTCAGCAGTGCTGTTTATAGAAATCTGTAATGTGATAAAATAGAAAACTACGGCCAACCTTGCTTTCCATTCAGTTGTTGACATTCTTTATTTTAATTTTAGAATAGAATTTGTAGCATTTCTCTTCTTAGGTCGTTTTTGCTTCTAAATAATGACTCTCCAGTGGGTTCTTAAAAACCTGTTAATGAGCAGATTAGAAATTAATGAGATTAATGATGGCCTGTTGTATTCATCTTTCATGTTGGGAGCCTTAGTGCCACCTAGCTGAATAAATAACACCCCTGGCCCAGTTTGCAGTGTGCCCTGGTTTCGGCCCGAGACTGATGACTGTTGCTGTCTTTCAGGATGGTGGATGATCTGTACCGGCTCCTGGAAGCTGCTGCGATAGCCAAGCCCTTCATCCTGGTGGGCTCCGAGCTCGGTGCGCTCAACGGCAGGTTCTATAGCCACATTCATGATGTGTAAGTATTGTACAATGGAAGTAAGTTTAGGATTTTACAGTAGGGGTCCTGCTAATAATGCAAAAAATTAGATGTGTTTAATGCTTTCTGTGGCTCTGAAGGAGTTTTGTAAAGAAATAACCCTGTTTAGAGTAAGGTTAAGTTGGGCAGAAGAAAATCTGCACTAGAAATATGGATGATTAAGTTTAGATATTGTGGATATTTTGTAAAAAGGTAGGATGAAAAAAAAAATACTAATCTTGACAAATATGCTGGCATGTTGTATATGGTGCAGCCAAAACTGATCAGATGTAGTTAGCTGGTGGGGCTTCACACATACCATGTAGCCTAAATAACATACAGAGCTGCCTCCCTCACTTGTGCAGTTTCATCAGTGAGAGAAGGCGGAAGATGAAAGTATGTTTGGAAGTATAAAACAAAGTCTTGGTAATAGTTATCCACATGAACAGTTTCCACTCTGATATTGCTCTGCTGGCCAGATTTCTATATAATACGTAAGGTTAGCTCGTCACTTTCAGAGTATAAATGTATGTATACAGAAGAGAAAAGAAAATATTAGACATATTTTTTTATCTCTATATGAAACACTGTAGATCGCAATATAAGATTCACAACATGTTATAAAAGTAAACTTATATAAGTGTTTGAAAAAACACACAAAAAGTGATATTTTAACAAATATTTACCAGAAAGGCATACGTCAAAGTTTTTAATCTGCTTTCTGTGGCAGTATTACCTTGCTGGTGCACCAACAGCAATGTATTCATGTTAACCAGCGATGATCAGTTTCTCGGAGCTGAAGAGTGAAGTCACTGTAGCAATGGAGACAGAGTAGGTTACAGCAGCTAGCAGGATGGTGGAACGTCTTTTCCTAGAAGGCGTCAAAGAAAAATTTCTGATGTTAGGATAAAAACAAAACGTTCAGGGGAAGGATTACAGGTTGCAGTTTTACATCTATTTATTTTTTATTCCTTTGTATGATTCATGATTTTAATTTTTTTTTTCTCTCTCTACAAAATCTCAACACAAAGTGTAAAATGATTATTTTACTAATACTATTGCCTGTTCCCCAGTAGCTAGGTCTGTGTGTAAGCCCAACAAGAAAAACACCACTAGTGAGTCTGTTATCCTTTTACATTTTCATTTCTACATTTCTAAAGAAAACCACAGGAGCAGCTGTGCAGCAAGAACAGATCAAATACAGACAGTCCAGTGCTACCTGGGCAAATTATTTGTGGCTGGGTTTTTCAACCTGGGAACAGATTGTTTTCAGCATCCTTTGACTTGTATTTCAGGATTTTTAACTTTGTAAAGGGGCACTGTGTCATTCCCCATATAAAATTCCAACACTTCTGTAATTTCCTTCCCCCAGTGCCCTGTATTATCTTTAGCTGCCTTTACACAGTGCGATGATCTGTTTGATGTCAGACTTTGCCAAAGCAGACGTTTTCATGAGTGCTTTTCGTTTTTACGTTTGACTTGCAAAGCTCAGATGTGTGGATGTCTCCAAAGAAATGGTAGTGTTGTACTTTGCTTGACTGTTTGTCACTGCCAAAGCTGGTGTTGTTTGAGAGGCAGCAGAGGGAGCACATATCAATTTTTCAGTTTAGACATTTACACATTGTGTGCTCAGGAGCGCAGCCCAAGAACTTACATGAGGCATATCTTGGCCTCTCCTGTTTCCATTGTGCTCATTCTGTTTTTGATCTGTCTCTTGCAAGTCCACTAACTTTATGAAAGTGCAATAGTAAATTACAGTAAAAGCATCCTTCTATTCTGAAAGTCTGCCAATGAGTACAACAACAAAACAGTTTACTAAAAACAAAGGTCCCTCTTGGAGCTGTGGTGCATTCGTCCATTTAAAATCAACTAGCACTTGCAGTAGTGCTCTATTTTACTATTACGGCTTTTGTTCTTATTTTATTTGAACTCATTCATTATTTCATTACGTTTTTATATTGCCAACAAATTGCTTGAGAAGAGCAAAACCAAGAATGTGTTGCTCCACTCACTGTTTGTGGCACTCATCCATAAGCCTGCTTGTACCTGCTGGAAACATAGATGAACACAAAACACATAAAGTTGCCTTATTATTTAAAAAAATACTAGAAGAATGTTCTAAAACATCAGGGCACTGCAGATTTTAGTAAACATGACTGAAACTGGACTAAATATTGAAATAGGTTTGTGCTGCAGGTTAACAGATGCTATGGTGTGTGTAGGATTCACTCTAAATAAACTACAGGTATTGGTGGTAATAAAGAAACATGTCATACTGAAGATGAGAAAAATGTCTGCCATGACCCCATCAGTCATTCAGGTGTCTAACAAATCTTTACATAAAACTTAAAGATGACTAGTTTTCAAATTACTTGATATCATAACGTATACAGGTCTTCTCTAACTTCCACTTTGCAAAATGTAGTCCAGTGTCCATTCCCATCATCCCCCGTAACTCACCCATGTCTGAGACAACGTAGTGATTAACGTGACATGTAGCCCATACCAGGGATGAAAGATTTAGTGTTTAATCAGGCACAATGTTGCCACCGTTAAGGGAGAAAATTAAGTAGTGGTGAGTGGATGACACCTCTCCAAATGGAAATATTGCCTCTGGATCTGGTGTACGTGTGGTCATCTGTCTGTGGGGGCACAGGACAGACAAATCTACAGAAAGACAGATGGGATGACGCCATCCATCTCACACTCATTATGGCACAGGCCGGGAGGGTAAAGTGGACAAGGGTAGTCAATGAGTCTTACTTCATCTGAGTGAGCGTGTCCTCTCTTTGTCCCCAGGCAAGTGTCAGACCTGGTGCTGATTGATCCCATCCCAGAGGGTGTTTTTGAAGAGGACCAGTGGAAGGAGTACTGGTGAGTTTATAGCAGGATTTGGGGGCGAAGGAAGGACAGAACTGGAGAAAGAGGAAGGGAGGAAGGCGCTGAGGATGAAAAGGAACGCGGAGAGATGTTGAAGAAGCCGAAACTGGGGAGGGATGAGGAAAAAAATGGAACGGGAAAGAAGATTGAGAAAGCGTGAAAAAAGAGAGGCGAGGAGGACGATAAGGAGCTCTGAAGGGCAGAGAGGAGCAGATAAAAAGCGAGAGGCTGGGAAGAGGAGAAGAAAAGAGGGAAGTGTATGAAGAAAAAATAGGATTAGGATGAGTAGAAGGGAGGCGCAGGCACTAGTGTGTTTCACGAGTCAAGCTCCAAACTCTTACCGTGTTGGCTTTCATGACGAGAACAGCTGATTATCTTTGCTGGGTGGGGCTCATTAGCATGATTAATTGGAGGCCAACGAAGCTCATTAGCTGATCGCAGTCTTTTAGCATGAAACAGATGAGGGGGGAGCGAGGGTTGTGGCGGTGGTCGGCACTGAGTGACAGAAAGTGTAATAACACTGCTTTAATCCCCCGGCGAGATATATGTCAAGTGGTAGTCATTGTCACAGCATATATCTCATTATGCATTAATTATCATACATGGGGGACGGGTTGTTATTAATGATAACCAAGAGAGCGGAGGAGGTCTGTTGGTAGAAGTGTCAGTTATGCAACACTAACTGTTTACAAGTACAGCATGTCATGTGTAATCATTAAAAGGTATTTCAGTGGTGAAGAGATTATAATTAATCGGCTGTATAATTTAGCGAGCCATGTAAAGCTTTTAGATGTAGCTGACAGTCCAGCAGCGATAAACAAATCTCTGCACTGTGTTCTTTACTGTTTTGTCACTTAGCATGCAAAACAGATTTTATTGCTCAAAACCCAGTGGAGATTTGTCTTTCAGTAGCGTCTGTCATTAGAAATTTATTTTACCCTATAAATGGTCACACAACTGTTTAGATCAAAGGAAAGGTTAAACCGTGTCACTGAAAGTTCAAATTTGTAGGAAATAAGATTTTTTGACATGAACTTTCACTGCGAGTATGTCAGCATGCTGGCATGAACCTTTCCATTAGAGTACAGTTTGCAGTAAACAATACAGTTTGTAGTTTATATTATTTTTCTTTGCGCTTTTTTGAAATAAAAATATTGGATTTGTAAATCATTAACTATGATTTAATGAGTAATGTATAGTAGTATAAGTGATGGATAGAAAGTGTATATGGAAGCTTGATTCACCAAGTCCTTGATTCTATACAGTCATGTAAAGGTTGTTTCAGACACACTTTCTTTTTGAACATTGTTTAATAGAAATTTGCTTTATATGAATTTGTAGACCTTTGACCAAAGTTTGTTAGTTTAGTATAACTTAAAGATACCAAATTGTGCACCTTTTCTTTTCTTTTTTTTAAGCAAGTCTCACATGTCTCCAGAACATGTTTTTCAGCTCAAAGTACTGCAAAGAGGATTCATTTTACTGTGACTGTATAACCCCTGGTTGAAGCCTTGTTCTAAACTGGCTGTTTCAGTGTCTCTAGCTTTAAATACAGCTGTGCTGCTGCTGTCCACCCTCCCGTCAGGAAGAACACTCTCTCTGCGTCTCTTATTGATAGCATGGACCAGAACAGTTGACAATATGGCAGGTGACACAGATGTAGATGCATGTGTCAGACCAGGGCTTTCTATTGCTTCTACATTTCTCTCAGTACCATCATTTTATATGGAAACATTTTTGAATTCACGGGACAGCTGTTGTCTTTAATTCCTGTGTGTGGTGAGTTTTTCAGACAATGTTGTGATTATATAATTAGCATTTTTGCGGTGTAGAGCCACAGCTGAGAAATAATTCTGAAGTGACTGCTGGTTAACATATAATCTTGACATGCTGTATTTCAGCCACTATTTTATAATTAGTCCATTGTCTGACAACAGAAATAGAAAAATAGTTCAATCAGAACAGCTTCATTGGAAATTTTACTACAATAAAATGCACCAGAGATGAACACAGATACTAGGAAAGAATTAAATGGATGTAAAGGACTGATGTGGCTGTGTTTAGGGTTCACGTAAGTACAATTTCTGAATGTCCGTTAACGTTGCAATATGCAAATAGGTATGAACTTTGAGCATATGATTAAAGCTTATGGTAAAGTTAGTCACCTTAGCTGCACACCCCAATGATTTATTTATTGTTGTAAAGGCATTAAATATTATTGTTATATAATCAGTTCCTAAAATGCTTGGAGTTCAGGAAGAGTCTTGTGTTCCCTTTTGCAGCCAACAGTGGGACTTTTGGTGTCCTTTGCTTGGAGTTTAGATATTTTAGAGTTTGCAGAAGGAGGCTTAAGGAATAGCAGAAGTAAGCAAACGTTTTTATGTGTACAGCTACATTCATACAGCTTTTACCTTGCACTTTTACATTTCTAACAACAACAAAACACAATAAAAATAGGTTTTCACAATATAGGACCTTTAACTTCAGACATTATTTGTTTCAATTAAACTAGCAGTAGAAGGTTAATTTTGTTTTTTTTTACATTATTCAGAACTAATTTGAATTTCCTACCATGACAAAATACGCATGGATATGAAAGAAAATTTAATCTTTTGAAAAGCTTTACAGGTTTAATTTGTCCTCCAAATAAACTACAATTGGCCTAACGTTATACATAGTGTGTTATACTTTGTGTTGTCATCTAGAATCAGTAACAAGGAGTTAATACATGCTTAGCTATGGCAGAAAAAGGTATTGTAGACATAATGGTAAAAGCTTGACCAGAGAGTCATGTCCAGGAAGACTTAGTGCATCCATCGTTCCGTCCACCAATATTAGTTCGCAGCTTATATAAGCACGAGTCAAGCCAGATAAGAAATGGATCCCTGAAAATGGCCTAATTTGTACGTGACTCAAAGTGGAGCAGCACCATTTATCAGGGGTATGTGTCCAATTATCCTCTGATTAATAGGCATTCATTTCACTGAGTACATGACAGTGCAGCCACAATCCAATTACTGTGTGGAGAAGCAATGTAGAAATGAAATGAACCAAAGACTTACATTTAGTCAGTAAAAAACTATTTTATCATCTATGCTTGATTTCCATGGGGGGATAAAAATAGAAGCAGGGATGGCATATACAGTATGAAGATATAAGATATGTAGCACAACTTCACTCACCACAGCATCCCAGCGCTGTTTGCATTCCTCAACCTGCTTTTCATCCCCATTTTTCTTTCTCTTTTTTTGTTCTGCAAGGTTGCATGTTGGTGTGTATTTCTCCTTCTTAGATATGGGTTTATTAGCTGTCGGAGGTCTTACACTATTTGGTACACAAGATAAGTAATGCAGAAGGGAGCAGGTCTGCACCTGAGCAGGATTGTGGGGAGACCGTATCAGCTTTACACTGGGACTGGAGGATTTACACATCAAAGACCAGCTCATTAACAGAGGCTCACTCCCAAAATTAGTTCTGTTACATCCTACAAAATGAATCACCACCATCTCCTGAGAATGGCGTGTAAGTGCGTGTCTGTGCGTAGGCGTTTGCTTGTGTGGACTTGTTGTAAGGGGTCAGCTTTCTTATTTGGGATTTTCCTCTGCAGATGTCGCAGCATGTGTCTCATTTCCTAGCGAGCATAGATAATGCTGCCTGATGAAAAATCAAGCGGTGGGTCTAGCATCAGAGATTAGGAGAAGCCCCAGCGTACAGACAAATTGCATTCAGGATGAGAGACGGTGGTTAAAGTCACTCACCGCTGTCAGTTTTTGTTTTACCAGCACAGGTTATGGAAGTTCTGTATATTTCCACTGAAAGACTTCTAACTGAAGAATGATGTGAAGAATCCCTTTTATTTGTTGGTCTTCTTACTGTGACACTACATGAGGAAAAATGTGTGGAAAGGTAAAAAAAATTGTTTTAATAATCATAATTTTGTCTGATTGGCCATAGTATGCACGGATACCACTAATACTATCACACTTACAAACACAAGAAAATTTTTTAAAAAGTCACTTAATAAATGAATAAACAGTCAGTGAGGTGGTCAATCAGGTTGAGATCAGGTTTCCAGATAAAAAGAAACCAGGTCATAGGACGTTGCCATGTTTCACCAGCAAAATAAGTTTTTACGACTGTGGACACAACATTGAAAGCACACTGTTGTATAGAACATTATTGCATTATTACTCGGTGGTTAGCACCGTCACCCAGCAAGTAGATCGCCGGTTCACGTCCTGGTGGGGACACCTGGGACCATTCAGCGTGGAGATTGCATGTTCTGCCCGTGCAGCGTGGGTTCTCTCTGGGTTCTCCGGATTCCTCCCACACAGTTCAAAAACATGTTGAGGTTAATTGATGATTCTAAATTGTCTGTAGGTGTGAATGTGAGTGTGCTGGTTGTCTGTCTCTAAGTGTAGCCCTGTGATAGACTGGTGACCTGTCCAGGGTGTCCCCTGCCTTCACCCGGAGTGGTGCTGTTATGATCTTACTTGGTACCAGGGTCGACTGTATCCAGTCCAGTCTCAAATGGCCTCAAATAAGTTGTTGTCATTACAGTGTTGCATTAATTAGCACATAATTAATATCAGACTTCTTGATTTGTACCTCTTGCTTTTTGCCTTGCATCGTGTCAGTCTTGTGGACAGTGATGTGATTAGCTACACTGCAGCCATGACTTCAGGTATCTCGACCTGTGTCGTGCTTGTTGATGAGAATTTATCTCGAGTTACAAGAGATGAAGTCACAGGAGTCGACTGATCAGTGTTAGGACTCTGCTTTGTTTAATCTGTCCTTACCTGCGGGTTGCTAACGGGTGCTAGCCAGCTGTGTACGCGTATCAAGTTGCTGATGAAACAGCAAACAGTAGGAGATGAATTGGTGTGTGGACATTTCTGCTCCATCTCCACTTACACTGATGATTAATTTAGATGTCCATATGAGCTGTGTTGATTAATCTGTATTTTTAAGTGTCCATAATGACAATAGTGTTG